ACACACTCTCTCTCTCTCTCCATCTCTCTCCTCCCCCCCCTCTCTCTCTCTCCCTCTCTCTCCCTCTCCCTCTCTCTCCCTTTTTCTTTCTTGCAGAACATGAACTAAATTAACCTCCTGTAGAGGGAAGAAAATAATAACAGCAGATGGATGCACAGCTTGCATCTCTTCCCCCCCCCTTTGTAATCACCCCAACGTACATGCATTTTGTGTGTGTGTGTGTGTGTGTGTGTGTGTGTGTGACCGCCGTGAGATGGGCAGACCGCCGTGGCTTGTGACAAACGTGCGTCCCTCTCTCGCCGTGTAAGAAAGGATCCTTGTGGGGAGCAGTGGAGCATTGAGGCGGTGACTTGTGATAGTGATGTGTGTTGAGTGTTGTGACTCAAATGTGTTGAGTGTTGTGACTCGTGTGTTGGGGGGAATAAGTCCCTACAGAAGGACTCTCGTGTGTGACTCGTGTGTTAGGAAGATTAGGCTACAGAAGGACTCTCGTGTGTTGTGATTTCTGTGTTGGGAAGATTAAGTCCCTACTGTCGGACTGAAAGACTCGTGTGTTGTGGGGAACAAGTCCCTAGATCTACAGAATGACTCTCGTGTGTTGTGACTTGTGTTTTTAGCGGGGAGCGCGGGGATTTCTTCCTCTTTGTCGTCGTCACAGAACCTACGTTTGTGTGGACATTTGTGTGTACATTTGTGTGTGTATGATGCCAGTGGTCGCTGGGACATGTTTGGCACGGACAAGGCAGACCAAGGATTACCGAGGCCTTCACCGTGAGCTTGGGATCTGATTAGTCCGTCAGTTACCAGCACACACTCCCAGGTATTGCCTGCTAAATGTCCGCTCGTTATTTTTGGCCTCGTTTTCTTTTTCTTGCTAGAATCTACGTCCGTATTTATTTCGGTGCATGACAAATACCGTGACAGTGACAAGTGACTGACAAGTAACAGTGACAAGTGACAGTGACAGTGACTGTGACAAGTGACTATGACAAGTGACAGTGACAGTGACAGTGACTGTGACAGTGACAAGTGACAAGTGACTATGACAAGTGACTGTGACAAGTGACAGTGACAAGTAACAGTGACAAGTGACTGTGACAGTGACTGACAAGTGACAGTGACAAGTGACTGTGACAGTGACTATGACAAGTGACAGTGACAAGTGACTGACAAGTGACTGTGACAAGTGACTGTGACAAGTGACAGTGACAAGTGACAGTGACAGTGACTGTGACAAGTGACTGACAAGTGACTGTGACAAGTGACTGTGACAAGTGACTGTGTGACAAGTGACTGACAAGTGACTGTGACAAGTGACTGTGACAGTGACTGTAACAAGTGACTGTGACAAGTGACAGTGACAAGTGACAGTGACAAGTGACAGTGACAAGTGACAGTGACA